TTAATTATCTTTCCATGATTTTATAACACAATTCAAGTTCATATGTTCTATTTCATCAAAGCAACAAAGCAATCAAGTGGGATTGGGGTCACATGAGAAATATTATTCTGATGCGAAGTCATACTATTGAGTATTTATTTCATAATAATGAATATTTCATGATAACAATAAATAACATATGTTGTAAACTCAATTACAACATATGGCAACCTTTTCTAGGGATTTCTAAGCATGGAATACTCAGATGTGTTTTGCCATTCCCTTCTTCCAATGGACTGTCAAGATTGCCCAAAGTTACACAGGCTAGCTCTTCTCCCAGGAGCCACAGCGGAATTTAACACCCAGGCTCAGAATGGGGCATTAAAAGGTCAACATAAATTCAAGAGCCCACCTTTCTCCAGGACTCTCTAAGACATTGAAAAGCCTGGAGATGAATGTTCATTTGAAGCCCTTTCTGCAACCTTCTTTTTTCCCCATCCATTGAGAAAAAATATTTTGCATACACATAATACTTTCAAGGGAAGGTAGCTATATTTTTCATCTGAATATTAAGAATATAACTAAAACAGCACAAACTATTTGCACATGATGACAACATTCAGAGAAGTTGGTTGTCCTTCAATTTTTTCCCCCTACTTTTCTGGTCAGCAAGTTCAGATATGGGATTATCAAAATATTTCCTTCACAAAACACATGTTCTACGGCTATTACAGAGATTGACAAAAGTGTTGGTTGTGTTACTAAGGAACATTTCTTTTTAATAAAGTTTAATTTTGAGACTGCAATTCTTCACAGAATTAGATAAAGGCAGAAAACTGTGATAACATTTGGAAAATCTTTAGTCACATTCTGACTAAACTATCAGTTGCTTCAAATCCATCATATCTTTCTGCAAAGCTCCTATAATCTTTCAGCATCTCACTCTCTTCTCTGGATTTTTAAGAAACCTACACACTTCCACATCTCTTCTTGACTATCAATCACAACCCCCAGAATTTTAAATTTGTAATTTGAAATAAAAATAAATACAAACTCTTAGTAAAATTTATTTTGAATTAAAAATAAGTGCATATAGGTTCCCCCGCCCCCTTTGCCTACAGTGCCGACAAGTCCTGGAAGTGGGATGCAGGAAAAATGTTCAAACAGAATTTTACCAGCTTCTCAAAGAACAAGAGAAATTATGAAATGCATGGGGTGGAGGAGATTACAATTAGAAAGGATGTTCTTCTATGAAATCTAGTAGTTGTTGGGTATGCCTCAAACTCCTTAAAGAAACGGGAGTGCCTGATCACCTAATCTATCTCCTGAGAAACCTATATGTCGGACAGGAAGCTACAGTTAGAACCGGATATGGAACAACTGATTGGTTCAAAATTGGGAAAGAAGTACCACAAGGCTGTATATTGTCCCCTGGCTTATTTAACTTATATGCAGGATACATCATGTAAAAGGCTGGATTGGAGGAATCCCAAACCGGAATTAAGATTGCCGGAAGAAGTATCAACAACCTCCGATATGCAGATGATATCATTCTGATGGCAGAAAGTGAGGAGGAATTAAAGAACCTTGTAATGAGAGTGAAAGAGGAGAGTGCAAAAAACGGTCTGAAACTCAACATCAAAAAAACTAAGATCATGGCCACTGGTCCCATCACCTCCTGGGAAATAGAAGGGAAAGATATGGAGGCAGTGACAAATTTTACTTTCTTGGGCTCCATGATCACTGCAGATGGAGACAGCAGCCATAAAATTAAAAGACGCCTGCTTCTTGGGAGGAAAGCGATGACAAACCTAGACAGCATCTTAAAAAGAAATCACCTTGCCAACAAAAGTCCGAATAGTCAAAGCTATGGTTTTTCCTGTAGTGATGTATGGAAGTGAGAGCTGGACCATAAAGAAAGCTGACCGCCGAAGAATTGATGCCTTTGAATTGTGGTGCTGGAGGAGGCTCTTGAGAGTCCTCTGGACTGCAAGGAGAACAAAGCTATCCATTCTGAAGGAAATCAAAATTGAGTGCTCACTGGAAGGTCAGATCCTGAAGCTGACGCTCCAGTACTTTGGCCATCTCATGAGAATAGAAGACTCTTTGGAAAAGACCTTGATATTGGGAAAGTGTGAAGGCAAGAGGAGAAGGGGATGACAGAGGATGAGATGGCTGGACAGTGTCATTGAAGCTACCAACATGAATTTGACACAACTCCTGGAGGCAGTGGAAGACAGGAGGGCCTGACATGCTGTGGTCCATGGGGTCATGAAGAGTCAGACACGACTAAACGACTAAACAACAATGACAAAGAGAACTAGATTTTATATTATTCACAGCAGCAGCAGAGTTTGTATTGCGACACACACACATACACCCATTATATTTATGGAGCTCCAATCAGTGGGCTTCTTAGAGAAAAGGAACTGGCAACAATGCAGCAATGCAAGTGTTAATGTGACCCCTTCCATGTGTCACACTCCTCTTCAAATGTGAGGGCCTCAACAACTGTCCCCTGTGCTCCACACAAACAAAAAAGGTCCTGTTCTGAATTCTATGTTGTATTTAGATTTACATTCGACTGGTCTGTATATGTAAGTTCCATGACCTTACTTTTTACAGTTAAATAATATCTTAAACCTATAACACAGGTAACAAGGATCTTGATTTTTTTAAAAAGGGACACAAAATATTTTGTGATAATTTAGAGGATTTTTTTCCCAAACAAAAAGTTAGCCTTTTGCAGTGGACGGAAGAATTATCTCTGTTTCAAATGTTTACTGTGTGTTTTAAGAAGACAGTGATGTTCACATATATTACACCAATAATTAATCAGTAGTACCTAGTTACTTGCTCATTAGGCACATGGAATTCAGTGTCTGGCTTGTCACATTGAGTTCCTTTTACTAATACCTAATACACTCCAATGTCATTTTCTGTCATTTTTTTATTTTTAACAAATCTAATCACTAGTTATCTGTAACCACTCAAATCACTCCAGGGAAAAATAAGATTCAATTAGTTAAACATGATTCTGAGTGTCTGGAAATAATTAAGTTGCATTAATATCATTATTAATATTATAAAGTGTCAGCATTGTGAAATTCATTTAATGTTTCTGAATATTTAAAGATGTCAGAACCTGAATTAAAAGACTTTGGAATTATAGCTAAGTTGTCTGCTCTATAGTAACTGGTCCTCCATATATACAGCAGAGGCATAAGACAGACATTCAAAATGGGATTAATACACACTTAGGGAACAAGTGTGTGAGAGTTCCTCCATCCTCCACTTATGGGTGGAGAAGCAACAGACTGAACAAGAAAGCCTAGATTGCATGTAGAACCCAGTTGAATGGACAGCCTCCATGTGCAGAGCAAGTTCTGCTCTTCATCCTGCATTCCACAAATGCAGAGTGACAATGAGTGTGGTAGCCCACTCTGCTCCACACATTTTTTATTTGACCCTTTTTAATGCCTTTCAACAATCACTATGAAGAAGTTGAAGCAGCTGAACTGGTGCATGCCTGATAATAGGCATCACATTTCAGCGTCAGAAGTGGGGAATGTGTGACCCTCTAGATGCTGCTGGATTGTAATTCCCATCAGCCCTATCCAGCAACAACCACTAATGAGAGTTGATGGCAGCTACAGTTCTACAATATGTAAAGGAATCCATATTCCTCATTCTTGCTCTGTAAGAATATATGCTTGGGTACCAGTGAGAATACGTTTTGAGTATCTGACTAACCCTAACATTTGAACTTATTTCGTACTGAAGATAATACACTGAAAGCATATTACAAACTGTACTGTATATGCTGTTTTATGCCTTATGTCTGATAGCTATCTACTGTATTGGACATTGCAAGATGCCATAAAAATCTGGAAGACAGAACACATACACATTGGGCAGGATCTACCGTTGGACTCCTGCTAATGGAATGGCAGAATCCAGAAAAAGAGAGGGCAATGCCAACATGCTTTTGCCATTGTAGCCTCTGCTGTACTTGAGAAACCTGCTTGTAGGTCTTCTCCACCTGGCTTTTCATCAGCTCTCAGGATGGGGTGGAGGAAGGGCTCACAGTGTGGAAGTTTCAAGACTGTCTGAGTAGCTGCCACTATGGCATCATCTACCCTCCTTCTCCCCCCTCCCCCCAGTCTTCAGGCTTCCTTGTTCCCTTTGAGTTTAGCTGCAGTCTTCCCAGTAGATGGAAGAAAATCAAAGTTTCTTACAAAGAAAATATCAGAGCAAGCTATCACTGGTGTAATGCAAAGAACTTGAGGCTGGTTTGGTTTGAAATTATTCATTTTACAAAAGACCTGCTCTTCATTTACTTATATTTATCAATTTACCCGCCTGTATGTTTGGACTCTTCCTATAGGAATGACTATCATCATATCATAATGAGCATATGAGAGGGGAGTTACATTGTAATAGTAATAGTCATGTTGTACTAGCATCATGTTGGATTTAGGCCATTAGAAGTAATGCATTATTAAGGGAGGCAGAATAACTAGGAATAAATGGTTTTGGAGATGAGAGTCACACATGCAACAGCAATGACATCTGCTTCTCTGTCTATCATAGAAGAACAGGGATACCTTTTCTTGCATTAAGGATTGCTTTTTTGGCTCTTGTATATATACAAACATGACAATATATAACTGAAACCAGGGAATGATGACCTTGCTTTCAAGTGATACTTACACTGACATACCAAAACACAAAGACAAATGCCACAGCATATTTTTTGTTAGATGCAAAGACTGGAGAAGATCATTTGTGAAATAATGAACTATGAAAACACTGGATTTAATGAAGTGCAAACTCACAGTCCAGCGTGTGTAGGGCAAAATAGGGTGGGAAGCAGGAGTGTCCAAACTTTAATTTCTCATAATGTCTCCAAGAAAGTAACATCACCAGCAAAGTGTCCCTATTCAGTCAAATATTATTTTCACAAATAAGTGTACTGAATATTTCACATACAAGAATGATGCAGAAATGACTTCAGATACCTTATATGAATGGCATCAATACTGTTTACTGGTCACAAAGAAAGGTCAAGTGCCGGCTGAATCAGTCTTCCTCTATATTCTCTGGTGCCCAGGTTCTTCCTCCTGTATAAAAGTGAGGAAGGGAGGATTACTTAGTTGTCTCACAGTTTCTAATAACAACTTCTTGGACTCTAAAGTATTTCTGAGAAGAGCTGGTACACTATTTTATGTACCAACCGAGAAGGTATTCCTAGTATGTAACTAGTCCATCGTTTGCTCACGGAGAAAATGGATGTAATGTATACTCTAAAATTATGAAGCCATCACTTTGCTCCCATGTTTCGATTGAGAGTGGCTTTTGGAATAATATCTGGCTTCTAGCAGGGATCCAGAAGCATTTTCATAAAGTCTTTCTGATGAAATAGGAATCAATAATGTCAAAAGATAGAAGCACTAATCAGCTGCAAAATCACTATGCAAATCTTTGGGCCACATTTCAGAAAATGATAGCAATTGTAGTAATGGTTAACTGCTATAATAATTATCATCTATGGATTGTATATTACAGACTTTAAATGTGGGCCATAATCTGTGGTGCTAAAAGTCAGCTCTAATCAAGAAGCATAGCTTCCCCAATTTTATTAAGACTGTGACTTTCTATATTATATTGTAACTGGAAATCTCTCCTACAGACCTTCTAATTTTTAGGTTTTCAGAAATAATATTTCAAAACCCTATACAGGGTGCAATTCTTCTGAAAATAAAGTGTGCCTAGCATCTTGCTTAAACTCTCAAAAGTGTTTTTCTTTTTAAAAAGATCTCCAGGTTTCAGCAGCAGAGGTTGGCTCCAGAACATGCAGGGATACCAAGCCTGATGACGTTCCAGCCTTATCTCAGAAATATGTTTACTGTATTTTGTATTTTCAAAAATACATTTTACTTAATTGTTTAAAATATTTCTTAGGCACTTTTGAGGACTGTCATCTTCAAAAAGCTAACTTACACTGCAAAAGCCATGCAATCTAATGTCACAGAAATTATAAAACCACAAATAATATAAAAAGATTTAAATAGAGCTAGTTACAACACAACAGGCTTAAAACAGATTGTGTGTGTCCAAGAAAGAAATAACATGTAAAATTTAAAAGCCCTCTTAAAAGGACTTCACCAATGGGAATGGCCAACTTTGCTATATTGTTTCAATGATGACTATTGAGAAAGACCTTCCCTCTAGTATCCAGCAGCTTTACTGATACCAAGTAGCAGGCCAATGAGCAGTTTTTCCAAAGATGAATTCAAGGCGTGGTATAAAGGTGTAACTAGCCTTCAAATAACCAGGCCCTTAAATCTTCAGGGCTTCAAAATGAAAATTAGTGTTCTAGGTCCAGAAACACACTTGCAGTCAGGGAAGCTGATATTATCTAAATTGAACAGCCACATCCTATAATAAGACTTGTAAACCATTTACAAAGACAGTTCTGTGTACCGTGCATTACAGTAACAGCCTTCTGCATCTGACTAGGCCATGGATAATGGAGGATGGGTTTGCTTTCCCTACATAGTTTTGCAGCCAATATACCATTCAAAGTTGGTTAAAAGTTGATTGAATGATTGTGTTTCTATAATCAACAAAGTTCAGGAAAAAACATAAATTGTCAGCTTGGTTCTTTCAGAGGAGTCCAACCAGTTGAATCAACACTGGCTGAAGCCCTATGTATTGATCAGCATATTTTCTTGGCCAAAATATTCTAATTTTCATCTTGATCCATCTCAAAACTTCATATAGATACCTGCTCAGTGGCCCTACAATGTCCCTGTGATCAACAGGAGTGCTTTTAGTGGATACTTTTATGTCTTCTGGAATTTGTGACCCCCTTCTCTTGCACTCCCTTGATTGACCTGAAAACACATTCCAAAGAAAAGTCAAAGGAGGAGAGGAAAAGAACACTCAAATTCCATCAACAATGACCACCAAAATATATCTTTTGATCTTGGCCATAGATCGATCTTGGCCAACCTCTAAATGACTTCTCAAGTGCTTTAATGTAGATATTAGACAACACATTTGACAAGAAGGAATACCCTGCAGACTACAGGCCATAAGGCAGAACAGAAGTCCCCTCAACCTCCCCTTCTGAGAACAACTAGTCTGTTTTACTGAAAACATAACAACTCTGTGCCTACAACAAAGCACAATCCAGCAAGGCTTTGTTAAAAGGTTGACATTCAGGCCAAGATCATGACTTCCTTGCACAGCATTCTTTGGAATGCACACGTTTCATCTATATATGGAAGCCTGTTAGCATCCTTTAATGTCAAACATTAAATCAGAATAAAATTATCGTACTGTCAGGAAGATCATTTTTACAAAATATATACATTTTTTTTTGAGAAATGTGATATATATCTTCACATACATTCCCAGATGTTCTTGCAGGTCTGAAAATATTTCTCTACAAGCCCCTTGGGTTATAGAACAAACTGATTGAATGAACAACACATAATTCTGGATAATGAAATAAAGATGACTGATATATGTGTGGATGCAGCTAATGAGACCAAATGCAGCAGAGAGATCAGCCAGATGCTCTTAGTTACAAAATAAAAATAGGCATCCTGGAGAAAGCATTATGTATCCTTTCATACTTGCTGGGGTGTAAAAATACTTTAAATTTCTTAATATACATATTTTAAAAATAATTTATATAATTATGATCTCAAACTCGAGCTCCAACTACCTGTTACATGGAATTAGACATTATTTTCTCCACTATTAAACATCTTTAAATCACCCTGAGATGGTTATGAATCAAATGACAGCTCATATGAGAAAAGCTCATTTCTTCCTCCTCCCTCCCAACTTTTTAAAGGTCAAGATTGTCCTCCTTAAGCATCTTCATTATCCACTACCACTCATGTTATTGATCTTATTAAACTTTCCCTATGGGTATTTATTTTAATTTGGAATAAAGTTAGAAGCAGAGGCAATAAAAACAGAAGACGTGTAGCAATACAGTAAGCTGACAAAATAATAAAGCCGAGTTTTAAAATGCTTATTATATCATGACTATGCTGGAAGGGCAGCTAAACAGACCAGCCTAAAGGAATTCTCTACATCAGCCATTTTCAACGTGGGGCCATATGGCCCCCTGGGGGCCCTAGCCCATTTGAAAGGGGGACACAGACTGGAAACAATTCTTCACACACCACCTTATGAGGTTCATTGTACAACTTATACAATCCAGATTCAGCCTATATTTCTTTCATATTGTGTTGATGGCCATGGCAAAAAAAATATGTTCAGAATGGCTGCCCTACATAATGGAAGACCAGCTGTTTTACACTCACACTGGCCACATGACCATGGAAACTGTCTACAGACAAAACGCTGGCTCTACGGCTTGGAAACGGGGATGAGTACCACGCCCTAGAGTCGGACATGACTGGACTAAATGTCAAGGGGAACACCTTTACCTTTATCACTGTAAACTAGACAGCATTTCTGTTTGGCTGAAATTTGTCCAGTAACGTCAAGGGCTTCCACACATAGAAAAAGAATGAGAACATATTTTTCTTAACTTACAATGTTTTGCTTGCTGAATGCATTTACTGCATGACTAACTGGAGGATACTGTAATGGTCTCTACCTCTTGAGGGCCATGAGATGGGAGGCTTCTTCAACAGATAGATATGTTATGACCTGAAGCTGATCTACTGCTGTGTCTTTTGTTCTTCCTCTTTACAACATCTAGATAAAGTTAACCATGTTAACAGCAGAATTGTATTTTCATCTATTCTGAAGGAAATCTTATGGAGTTCAATGGGAATTATTTAAAACATGTGTATAGATTGAGGCTTAATGACAAAAACATTTTTTAAAAATAGTAAACTTTGCTTACATGAGCAGACCAATCTTTCATGAATAGGAGACATTAAATGTGTTATTCTATCTAGAAGCCTCTTTTCTAATTTTCTTCCAAAGACTTGTTGACCATTTTAATCCCAAGAGAATCAAACAACTATTCTCTTGCAAGGAGTTTTAATCTTTTTAAAAACATAATCATCACTCTTTAGAACAGATGGAATCTGTCAGTATCTTCAATCCTGTCAGTGGTTTTAACTTTCATGAGGCAAATAAGTATATTACATGGGGTTGGCCAGGACGCTCAAAAGGAGTGGGAATTTGTGATTTTCTTTTAATATGTACATGGACAAAGAAAGCAGAAAAGAAACTGAATGGCACTGAAATAATCTGAACCTGGAAATAACTAGTCACAAATATATTTAGATAAGGATTCACATAATAATGTGTGACTAGTATTTTCCATAATAAAGATATAACTAATTCCCACTACTACTGCAATTTAAGGAATCATTTCATTCCTTCTGTAGTGTAACTGTAACTGAAAATTACATTTATATTTGGGGATGTATTATCACTAATGAGGAATGTAACACAGTTCAAGCGTTGGGTTATGTTGCTGCCTCATAAACTGCTATGGCAAGCAAGAAGAAGGCAGAATCTGTTTTGTACCACAGACTGGTGCCTTAACTAATTATATTGTTTTTTAAGAGACTAAGAATTGTAATTGTGGAAGTAACTGCTTCAGGTTGGAACAATAACTGCAACAAATTATTTTTAAAAGTAATATTCCACTCTGGAAACAACTACCACAGCTGGGATATATTGGCATTCATTGTACTGAAATACTGTACTTTAAAGGAATGTAGATGATGTATTTTGCCATAGTAAATCCTTATGTAATTTTAATCAGAAGGGATGTTAACTAGAAGACAGACCCCTGAATATGTATGCTTCTGCTACTTACTATCTCTGTGGGTTACAGTGTGTCAGGAGTTCAAAGAAGACTGTCTGATCCATCATTCCTTCTACGACACAGGATTAAACTAGATGCTACTGCAAGTTCATTGTTAGAAGCAGCAGTGACTTAGTGTTAAACTGTTTGATCCTAATCCCATGTTTAGGATCATGATCTAATTTCCAGACCTCTATAGCTTGCACATTAGCATGCTTTTACTCATTAGACTTTAAATATGTGCTTAGTCTGCATTCTGATTGCTCAAAAATGAGGCTGGGAGGGACATGAGAGACTGAAACATGA